AGCCATCAAAAGCTCAGTGCATGGGTCTTGATGGCGAGCCTAGCAAATATTGCATCCAGACTCGGCATATTCTTGTACAATGTGGTGAGATGGACGAGCCGGGAGATTGGCTAGGAGGAGCGTTGATGTTAACGTGGCAGACGATGGTCAGTGGAAGGGCGGGGAGTGTCGTTAGTGCTCGTCGTCATCGTCGTCAAAAACCAAGCTCAAGGCGCTAGTGCGCAATCAAAATAGCGGCCATCACCGGACATGCCGCGTTCGGCACCGCGACTGATCCTTCGACGTGATCTTCTTTCACAAACTGGGCCCAAATCATTCACCTCAGCGCGCCTTGCTCTGTTACCAAAAACCAGAACCTACTAATCCATCAATAAAGCAAAAGAGAATTCCTTCTCGAACCACACCGTTCCAAAGAGGCTGGACGGCCTAGGATTGGCCTAGGAAATTGCCGGGAAATAAAGGCCAATTCAAGCTTTAATTATAAGAGAAGTGAAGACTGGCATTTGTATATGTGGAGGAGAATAGGATATGCGGCTAGCTGTCAGAGCTCAGAAACCCCTAAGGAGTCGGGTATTTCGACACATAAAGTCAGTTTATTCTCAATTAAGCACCGGGAAGGCATTTATTGCACGGAGGTACATGCATAAGTCCTACAGAAACCAAGAAAAAGACATGCGTCAACATGTAAATCCCAACGGTCGTTACCTCTGCCGTTGTGACACTGCTTTGAAGGTCACGAATTCGACGTACAGTCAAACGAAAAAGCACCAGCCCTGAAGATGGCATATGCGCCTTCGGAGATATGACTACTACGCACGAACCACAAGGTCAACGAGCAGTAGCAAGTTAACTAATTACTTACGACTTTCACTTCAAGGCCACCGACACTCGCCATGAAAGCCCGAGCCTAAGCCCTCCCTGTATAACGCCAATCTCGAGGGTACTACAATATGTTGCCAAAAGGATCGCTCAGCAAAACCTCGACAATTAGTGCAACAGCAAAACATATGAAAATCTCTCCCCACACACCTTGTGCCACAGATTTTTTTCACGTTATGTCGAAGCACAACATCGTGATTTCTGAAATTACATGTCTGACGATTCGATGCTGTGTGGGTTACACAAGCAGCGAAGCGGCATTTCGCCGTACTAGATAAGAGCAACCATACAGGAAATGACGATGCTTCGGATAACGGGAATCGAGTACCGAGCTCAAGGAAGTAATACGCAGGATCAGGGGGAACATAAGCTCTGGGGCCGCCAAAGGGAAGAACGGAACCGAGTGGGACTTAGCGTCATCGGCCGTCGTACCATATCCCAACAAAGGAGCGGACGCTCCCATACCTGAGTCTCGCTTGTTCAGTGCTCAAGCGAATGATTTGCAAAAGGAAGTAAGTATTCCGATGCTACGTCAACTAACTGTAAACTCAAACATTACATGGTAGACAGCGCTGAACAAGAATGGCGGTGTCGTTTGATCGATAGCTCAAATTCAGTACTGGAACAGCTGTAGTCTTCTTCAGTCATAGTCACGAGATCAAGGAAGGAATACGCCCACTTTATCGATTCCTGCATCACTCGCCATCATACCTTCACCGCTATGGCTGACTCCAGGCACCCAATCAACGGTGGTGAGTTTGGGTATACCACCCATATCTTCTAGCATCGTGACGAAATTTCGTCCCCTTTCTAAATGGTTCCGTCCTTGAGTCTACAATGAATCAATCAGTCTCCAGACGAAGAGACTCAAAAGAATATGGTTACTCGCCTGTGCTTGAGCTCGAGTGTCTCCATTTCCTTCGTCTTTCTAAAAAGATGTCTCAGTGGGATCTTCGGGAGGGGAAATAATGCACGTACAAGTCCCCAAGCATAATTAAGGGTACGGCTGTGGTATCTCTTGATGATACCCACTCTTCCAAGAGTACGAGCATTCTTGCTCGCATATGCGGGGAAATTCGATTCCAGCCCGTACTTGAAAGCATCTACGCCTTCGCACCTATCGTTTGGAATCGGGCGAGTCGGCGTTAGCCAACAAAGAGATCCAGGATTAGCTAGATGTAATCAATTTAGCTCCTTCTGTCGTACCACCGAGAAAAGAGGAATCACCGATCCAGAAATGCAACCTGTCATCATCGTCGGTTGATGTTCTCAGAATTGCGTAACGCTGGGCCATTTGGCCACCAGCAGAGTGACCTCCGACGACGAGGACCTAAACATAAGTAACAGAATTTCTCTACCTGATAAATAAAGTTATCACCTTTAGATTTGGATATAGCTCTCTGTCCATGTAATACGCAACTAGTGCATCAAGGACGTCAAAGCTGCTAACTCCGGTAACAGAGTCGGGGCCGACATTGCGGCTTCCGCTAATCCAATTCGTTCTCCCCCATAAGAGCTGTCCTTCCTGCGCTGCACCCGCACTGACATCAGCCTCCGTGAGGAAGCATGGACACATAATGGATATCTCGCTACGTTTCATAACGTAGTCATTGCATGCCGCCTTTGAAAGTGCATTGTTTGCCGCATTCCAATCTGTATGAGGTTCATGAGCAGATTGATAACATGTTAGTGGTAGGTACGCGCCAGACCAGCAAGCCCGTTGCTGTGTGATGACATTAGCGGAATAGCGGTCTCTGATTCAGAAATATAACTTGCCTTGCCCTGCAGGATAATGACCGCCCTCGTGACTTTGGTCGCATCTAGGCTAGCGGTTTGATAGACAGGCTATGAATCTATGAGAAAAATAAGTGGAGCGCAAGGGAAAGCTCACCAGATATGCTCCTTTGTCGTCATTGACAACCCATGTAGAGTATAGAGTGGCATCAACGATGTCTGGGAGCGACTTCCAGCCCTCCTCCCCGGATCCATCGACTGTCGGTTCTGGGACATGCTGTTGGGTGAGGGTAGAAGGCATGACATATTGACCCTAACGAATGATGCTCGGTGCTAGTGATGAGTTTCGGCACGGAGTTTGCCGAGCCTGCTTTGTCCCGACTATGACGCACAAAGAAATCTCCTTCAAGCGGCGCCTATTTGCTATTTGGCGTATATCCATTTTCCTGCTGTTGGTGACATTCTCATCGAGGTCGTTCAGGGTCGTTCGCTCTCAGATCCAGGACTCTGATTGGAGTTGCAGCTGTTCAAAGGTCGGCATCGAACTACTTATTGAACTTATGGTCGTTTGCGAGTGCACCGGTAGTCACAATTGAAGCGACCTGGTGAAATCACGTCGGGAAACAATGACGACGCTGATACGTCACTAGGCTCTCTTACTTCCTTTCGAAACAGGGGGCAAGCCGCTATAGACTCCTTCACAAAGCGCTTTGGAAACAAGGTTGAAGCGAGTACAGAAACGCATAGATGGCATGAGAACTATAATCCACTCCAGAAGCGTCCATCTCATTTTGTACCTGCCTTCTGGCTTTTTGATACACAACGAGCCTATCCCTATTCGTCTTCCATATCACCGCCACCACCTCGATGCCCTACCCGTCCACCAAAACGGTTCCGAAATTCGATACCAGGAGCGGTGACCCCGTAATCTTAGCGACGTAGGAGAAATTAAGAGGCCATTACTCTTATCAGGAGGGATACAAGGATGAATGTCAAAACACGGGTAGGCGCTATTCTGCCCACGTTTTTTCTCGCTGATGCATGTTTAGACAAACTCCTTCTTGATGGCGACCAATCAAGAGAGGAATAAACGAGGTAATGAAATCGCTGAACTACTGATACAGTACGTCTTCCCGTCATTGCGTGTCGTATCTTTACCCAGCTTCACCCTCAGTACACATAACCTAGCTGTTCTGACTCTTATGTTCGTGAGTCTCGTACGTTGCAACGTGTCATTATCATTTGACCGCGATTTCAGTCTGGTACCCTCTGCATTTACTCGGATTGGCCAGGACTGCAGCTCATGACTAGTTTCAAATGAACTGTTATCAACGTTCCGCAACATTTTGGCTAGTACAATGCAAGAATGCGGGACTGTGTGTAAGTACGAGTTTCTACTCTGTACTGAAATGGCTGTTATCTAGTTGTATATATCTGTAGACGCCAACGTGAACGAACATTGTTCGATGATCTCTCAGATTGATGTTTTCTGTGAGTATTGATATTTTCCCTTTGTTGATGCCCTGCCGACACGGATTGCATGTAGAAACGTTGTCTCGAAGAGTGTTCTCATTCTGACGTTGCACCTTTTCCTATCCGTTCGATTTTGATGTGTGCGACATGGCTACTACGCGGTGCTGACTCTGACTCTGCCCTTCCTTTGATTTTTATTGATGAACTCGTCTAGGCATTATATAAGAGGGGGCATGATGTAGCTCTCCGAAGATCTGTCCAATTCCTGCTTCATTTAAGATGGCGACTTCTGATGCCACGCCGAGTATTTATACTTGAAACAGTCTCAATGTATGAATGTGTATGTGCCCTTGGTTGACCTACAACGAGCCTGGGATACTCTCAGACTGTATCCTGAGCTGATTATCTTGAACAACACCGCAAAACATTGGGCCATGATCAGGTTGCTCCCTTTAAGCTACTTGGGAGACTTTTGGCGCCATCAAGAGTTAGACTCAGAGTGCTTCGATTAGCTTGTCATTTTTATGGTTAAATTTCGATTACCTCTTTGGGGACGCGGAACTTGAAGCGGGGAACCACGTTCACTCAGTGAAGGGTCACCTCCGCATATGCGACATAATGACTGTAAGGACAGCAACCAGGAACAGAGTAAATACTCATACTTCAAGGAGGCCGCCGGCGTACCTTGGGGAACCATTTAGCATGCCAGTATTCGATGTAAGGAGCAGATGATTCCAACGGCTTTGTAATTCTTACGTTAGCGAATACGGAGACAACCTTGCAGGTAAATATATTAGAATTGATGACTGGCAAAATGCAAATGCTATTGCTTAAGCCTTAGATGGCTCGCCGCTCAATGCTAGCTCGATGAGCTTAATTAAAAAGAGGTCAAATTGATCATGCGACCCGTTAAGTTCGGATACGGGGAATCGAAGCCCGAGCTAGCGCACCACAAATGCCAATCCCACCTTGAAAGGCGGTAACGTTAGCCGTTCCACCATATCCGAAGTTAATCAACTCTCCTTGTAATAATAGAGATATAGGTCGCGCCATAAGCGCCTAAGCATTCGAACAGCTAACAGAAGTAATACAACACTTACCATTGGCTTAGTTCAAAAAACCGTAATTGCTCCTGCTAATTATGAGTTCGCTAAATAGGGAATGGTTTCTGAATGGTAGATATGGAAGGGGAACAAGTATTTTCGGAGATGCTACGACAGATAAAATGATAGCACATATCTTGAATTTATCAAGCAATACAGCTAATTAATGATGACACCAATAAACGTGAAAGACAGAGGGTAGGATATTTGCACCGTACAATATATACTTCCGTTTGCTTCACCAATACCCCCGCCTACTCATAGCAGCGAATCCTGCCCGCCTCTGAGCACCTTCAACCTTATACTCCAAATCCCTCGAAACCAGCTACGCCCAAACACCCTTCTTCTTCGCAGCCGCCTCCAGCTAATTCGCGCCCACATTCTCATACTCATGCACCCGATCAGTCCGACCTCGCCCCGTCTTGTATATCCCCTTCTCCCCGGGATAAGACAACTTCCTCAACGAGGGGAAAGAATCTTCCCGGTTGAGCTCCTCAGTAAACGCCTTGCACGTCGTCCCCCCGGTATCGGCGTCCCCATTGAGATTGATCGACTGGAGTCGGGGCTCATTCGAGAGCTCGCCCAGGATGAAGTCTTTCGACGGGTGATTTCAGCCTCCAATATGGATAGACTCGATTGAGGGTAGGACGTTCCGGAGGACTGCGTCGATCTAAATATCAAGGAACAGTCAGCGCGCAGAGAGAGGAAGGTAAGAGGCGGAGTACCTCTTGGATTCCCATCGTCTAGGCCTCGAAGCTCTTCAGGCTGTTCGCCGATCCGGCAAACATGGGCGCCAGTTTTTCGAAATTGGACATGCAGCGCTCAAAGGTGACCGATTCTAGTGCACATGTTGCTGGAGGGATCTTGGAACAGTCTTCGCTGCCGTTAGTGTCCCCAGCCAGATACAGCTATACGACGACATTATCAGTACATGTTACAGGAGCCTATATGATGACACTCACAGTCCGCAGGTTAGGTCAAGACGACACTAATTTCATCAAGCTGTACTGGCCGAAATACGTGCGCGCAGATGTCGTAGCATGGTGAGAAAGTTCTCAAGATTCTTCAGCGAGCACAACGCAGTCATGGGCTTCTCTCCAAGACAATTCGAATACGTGTCAAGGTGGCCAGACTGAAACGACGCGTCACACACCGGCTGATATGATCAAATAGACGGCACTCACAAAGTTGAGATTCAGGGCTATGAGATTGGGCGTCCTGGAGGAGAAGCTGAGTAAAAACACGACGCATAGTAAAGGGAGACTTGCCGTTTTAGTAGTTCGGCGATTTCCTCACCTTATCACCATCATAGTTGCGAGACGCACGCACGCGTACCAAGCCAAGACGGTGGATGTGCTCGATGCCAATCAAGCGAGGATTCGATATTTTCTCGGGGAATCACACTCCTTGACATCCTCCCCAAGCGTCTGTCTGTATCTCTTGATACTCAGGCCGACTATCAACCCATTCTTCTCGACATATCTATAATATCGCACTACCTTCCGATGAGGGTTTTTCATCAGCGTCTCACCAATACCAGCACAAATTTTGCTGGATTGCATAACGCCAGCTCGCCATTCTCCATACCAGCCGCAATGACGCCCCAGGTCGACTACTGTCGATGTACGCGGGTGAGCCTATATTGACATCATCGGCAGCGACTCAGCAGTACAACGACGAGACGGCATACCTCGCTGTATCCTTCATAGCCCCATTTGGCCGCGACTGGCCCTCTATCTCTAGATAAAATTCATTCTTGTCGAGAAAATAGGGGGCCCATGTTTCGAGCTGGCTCTTGCTGAAAGACTCGTCGAGGACGCCGGCAACTATCCCTGTTCCAACAAGAGGGGGGGAGGGGGACGGGGCCTAGGTAAATGTCGAGGTTGGTGGAAGTAAAAGATTAAATCGTGCAATAGGAGTGAACCGTATTGACCCAACAATGTTACGTAACACGTGACCCGGTAAAACGCTTCCGGATATCCGGTGTTCGTTTTTCGTTACAAGTCCGCGCGCCCTATAGTTTCTCAGCGCGTATTCCTTCTTCCATCGTAAAATTTTGTTTCAATAAACTTGCAAATGATTCTTTATGCATGAATACATGTATATTCATGGTGGCCACCAACTTGATAATGTCATTGAATAAGGACTGATGTTTTGCTGATGTTTTGACAGTCTCTACAAGTTTAATATCTTCCTGCCCTCCGGTTCAAATGGAAGAGCTTTCAGGTATACTTTTCTGGCATTTAAATGGTGTTCTAGAGATTCTACGTGCCACTACTTCATAATTTCTCCTCAAAAAAGGTTGCAAACCCTGATTCTATTCCCAAATATCTGAAAGATGTGTATTTTTACATAAACGAAAAGAGAGTAAACTACTGAGTACCATAAGGGTGGAAGAAGGAATACGTGTTGAGAAACTATAGGGCGCGCGGACTCGTAACGAAAAACGAACGCCGGATATCCGGAAGGGTTTTACCGGATCACGTGCTACGTAACGCTGTTGGGTCAATACGGTTCACTTGCAATAGGACGGCGTCCCAGGGGATTTCGCCCTGCCCTAAAACCTTCACGTAAAACTGACACGTGCATTTCATACTTTACTTCGGTTCCGGGCCGGCAGATGCTTTAAGATTTTCTGCATGGCTTCAATGTCGAACGAGCTCGTCGTAAATTCTGGAATCATTAAATAGCTGCATGAAAGCTGTCCAGGATATATTCATACCGACTTGATAATATGCCATACAACTCCTCGACCACGGCCCACAGCAAGGAGAGTCAAGATCCGAAATGCCCCGTCTCATCTCAGATATCCCGGGTATCCTAGCTTACTGCAGCATGGTATCATGTGCCCACCCATTCAGATAATCGACATAGGGGGACATAGTGATTTCCTGTTTCTCCCCTTTTCGCCTCCCACTCGCACATATGCTTGCGATATTTACACGAGGATTCGCTGGCCCCCTTTGTTGATCACTGGAAGGGTGCTTTTTGGGCAGGCGCAACATTTTACACCCCTTTTTGCTCTTGCTGAAAAGGTCTCAAAATGTTCGTTCGCTGCCCTGCACCTGGATCACACTCTGGCCCCTCGCATTCGCTTTTATTGCATTTATACACCATACATCAACAACTGCTGTCAGTTGTTGGTCCTTTTTCACTCGTGTTACGCCAGGAGGATGTCTGCTCCTGATTCCTGTGGTCTCTCTTGCTTCGCTGCTCTGCAGTGATTCCAGTCTGCACCATTGCTACATGCGTCATTGGTGCCTTGGATTTCCTGGAACTGCGCCTCGAAGCTGCATTTCCTTATTGTACACTGAGATTGACATTTGCCTTTGCCCATACCCACCTCCGCATTGAGGAGACATTGTCTCACATGGTTTCTTGCGGTTTTAGTTGTGTCAGTGCTATAATGCGCATGATAGAGGTGGTATATTTATCTTTCGTTCACAATATAGTCCCTTCGTATGGATCCGATCCCGTGAGACGCTTCATAGTTACCGACGCTATGATGTCAGTCACAGCGGCAGGGTCCTGCGCGGTCTGCGATGCTACTATAAAGTATATTGATAAGGCTTGGTAGCAACGGCGCAGAAAACATTGGCTGTTTCCTTTTTAGGGACCACTTGCCAGTGCGACGACTACTACTACTACTTCATATGCCGCGCTTCAGCGGCATCCTTCAATTCTTCGGATAGGAACCGGTCAATGCCAACGACAACTCGACGCATACAATAACGATCTGCCCGACGCAATGTAGACCTGCCCGGGTACAGCGATTACGGAGAGGACCACAGGCATCAGCGAATTCGACCATACAGCGTACAGCGGTCATTGAAAGTCCGCCAATCGTGCCAGAGCTTAGCGCTCGACACTGACTCACATACACACTGACTTCTACGAGCGCATCTCTCCGGTTTATGATAAGCGCTCTATCTCCCGACCATGTCTCACACCAGTTCACTACGTCTATTCCCTTCTCACTTCTGATACCACAAGGTTCAATGATGGGCGCTCTTGCTGCCTTCTTAGCTCGTGTATATCGACTAAAAGTCCATCGTCCTTGGTTTATCTTTCCCATCGATAACACTGTGGAACATTGGAGTCCCTACTGCTGGTTTAACGCAACCTGAAAACGTCTCCTTGATATGTGATGCTCCAAAATTTATTCATTGCCGGGATGCAGGTCAGACTCATTCCGTGTTCTAGCGCTAGGAGCACCTGCAATATCAGTATTCTCGATGTAATATCACGGCATCTCAGCGGGTATTTTACAGCTCAATGAGCCCTACATTCGCATCACAGTCCGCGTGAGAGCGCAATATCGTACCGGAAGCATGCAACGAACTAATGCAGTGCCTTCCATTGAACATGTCTGCTTGCCACGCTGTGTGGCCTTCCCGATACCCCGTGTCAGTTGACGATAACATTATTTCCACCTAAACAAAAAATACTTCGACAGTAACGAATAAAACATCATTTCATTACAGCATCCTGCGTGACATGAACCTATAAAGCCTTGCTTTTTACCAGTGATCTTCTTCAATCTCCCCAACTCATTAGCTGCTCCCAAGCATGTCTTCCGAGCAAACGACCAGCCCTCGACGCCCATCAAGGGTTACATGTTGTTTCGGCACTACTCTCTCATTCCTGATCATTGTTCCAACCTTTTGCCTTGCTCTCACTCTCAGGCAAAATGCTGGTGGCGAGCTCGTGTATACCAAGAATCCCGATTGGAAGGACCCGGATAGAACCGTAAGACTCCTCGCTAGTTCCTTGATCGGTGCTGCTCATAGGAATGGAAGATCTTTCTCCACGCTGACTTGCTCTCAGCTGATGTTCTTAAAGCCACTATGCTCGTGGACTGGAACATCGATGACGATACCTGCAAGGTTGATTGTCCGGAGGTT